TGTGCTGAGTATTGAATAGTACTGAATGTTTGTATATATTCAGCACTTGGATACTGCAAAGATACTGCAGTCCAACTGCAAAGGCCAAAAAGGTCAAATAAAACTATAAATGAATAGCATGTTACACTCAAATACTGTAAGTTGTGCAATTGTAAAATCAGGGTCAGTTTAGAGTTTCATTCTGTCTCAGCATCATGTCTTTGTGCTTGAGTCCGGCCTGAGGACTTTTTCCACATCACAAGTAATGTTGTCTTTTTTGCTAGACAAAGAGAAAAAACCCTTTGGTCTGACAGATCCAGCCTTGATAACACTCTCTAAGCCTTACTCTTTCTCTCCTCATCCTCTTCCTCCTCATCCTCCACTTCTTACATATACTCTTGCTCCTCTCCATCTCAGATTGTTTCCATCTATTGTTCGTATCATCATTCAGTCACCTGTGCCACTTGTGCACTCTGAACTAGCTCATATTTTGTACAGTTGGTTTGATCACATCATTAGAAACAAGGGTGAACAATTTTGAATCGTTGTGTGTAAACGATGACAGCTGTGCTTTAGTTGTGTTTAACTTTTGCCGCTTGTGTTTAGCATTTTGCAGCACAAATGCATCACAGTGTGATAAGTGTTTAAGTGAATGAGAATGTGTTTAGAGTTTTGCGAAAAGACTGCATGAGATTTGCAAATAGAGCCTAACTGCCTGAACGTGTTTAAGGTTTAGCAGAAAGAGTGCTTTATTCAACAAATTGGCTTGAGCTAGTGAGATTTTGGTTCAGAGATTGGGGTTTAGTGTTTTAGCAAATCACAAAAACTGTAAAATGTTAAATGTCATTAATTAAAACATCATTATTTGTATGGATTTCTTTAAATTAATTTTGATATAAATTAATAGATCACCCAAAATCTTTGTCACAACATTGACCCTATTTACCAATATTCCATTAGACAGAAGGCTGATGTGCTATTGTTTTACCTTGTGTGACAACTGCAAAGTTACACTGTATTCCCAAAATACTCTGCTGTCACGAGAACGGTTTCTTAACGTGTCAAGCCCTTCACAAACTTCCCTTATGGAACAATGGTCACAGATGTGAGGATGAATAGATGTGGAAGACAGAAGTGAAGGGCAGACAGATGAGCATTAGGGTGCGCGTGTGCATGAGCGTTCGCAGCACGGTAGCGGCTGACGATCATGTAGCCAGCGCTGCGAGGGGAACTAATTGAATATGGGTGATGCTATTTGTATGACTGTCTCTGGTGATGGATGCCCCTCATAAGAGCCCTGGAATTCGAGATCATTCTTCAATCTTCAGTTATCTGCACTTGCTTCCTCTTTAATTCCCCGCAAGCAGTTTGTACCATTTGTTTTCACTCTCCCCTCATCAAACTTCGCGTTGTATCATGTAATCATTAATCACATGTCAATGACATGACTGGATCACGGCACTTGTTTCTATCCTCAAATGGCATGCAAGGGTGCAATGAGGGCAAGAGGGGCAATGCATTATGGGAAGCCTGCCCAGATGCCTTTTCGGGAGGGTGTAATAACTGTGGACACCTCTGCCCTAAGCACCTGTGGAGGTGTGTACGACTGGCTGTGTCATGGCCTTGGAGGCCGGTGGCTGTCTGAATGAATCAGCACTTTGCAGTAATCTGATGGTATTATTTAGTGAGGCGTTTGGCTCGGCCGATAGTAGTTAAGTCACGCTGGTTATTGTGAATTATGAACCCCTTTCTTTGACTCGCACCCAGCCATTTGTATTCATAATTTGCATTCATTCATCACACCTTAAACTTTGTGGGCTGTGTAAGTACTTTAGGTGTGTGTGACTGACAGTCTCTGTTGGTGTGTACGTGCCTGTAGACTTGCTTTATAAAAATGTATTATCTGTGTGTAAAAGGAGGGGAAGATTGGGGTAAAAATCATTTGGACACTAAAACAGGATAATCTTATCAAGTCAATCTTATCTTAAGATAATCTTATTTGATCAAATCCTTGTGACACATTTTTAATAGATCTCCAAGTACAAGTGTTCCTTAACTATGTACAGTATGTATGTATTTATTATAAGTAATAATAATTCACACCATGTCTCAAATTATTGTATTTAATAGCATTCGGTTATGGAAATGACGGTGGTGGAAATGACATTTTAAACATTGTATGCGTCCTGAATAATTAAAAAAAGTAAACAATAAAAAATGAAATGAAATGAAATGAAATGAATATCAAGTGACATTCACCTTGATTTCTCTTCTCAGCAGTTCTCCTGGGTACACAAGTTCACAAACAAAGATCTTTATTTGGGGCAAAATTGTTTGGTGTGGTGGAAAATGGTGCCACAACGTTGTAATAATAATTAGTAATAATAATAATAATATGTTCATTTCACTATTTGTCATAGTTTTAAACAGGTAATAATTGATGTTTTTGATATGGATTCATTTTTAAGCTCATTACAATATATTTGAAAATAAGAAATGTTTTTTTTGAAGGCATTACAGTAAGTTTCTAACACTGTTTTAATGTGACCTTCAAATAACAATAATAATTATAATAACAATCCATTAGAAAAATCAGCCCCTGGCACATAAATGTGTAAAAAGTGTTAAAAGCGGGGAGGGTTAACTCAAAGTTTCATTTCACATTACTCTTTACTTTCCAGTGCCTCTGAACCTGTGTGCATACAGCTGAATAATTTATAAAGGCTCAATTTTGTGCAGGGTGAATCCCGGTTTTTGAGAAAACAGATACAAAGGAGTGGCTGTGTGAGTCAGATCAGCTGTGGAGTAACAGCTGAAGTGTTAGATGCTCTAACAACAGGAAGTAAATGTATTACCTTAGTGACACTGTCACATTCATGTGAATACAATATATGGCTCTGATGATATTTATGAGATGGGGAAAATAAAAGGGAGGTATAGGCTACTTTAGATCAAGCCACTTTGATGTCGTGTCACGACTGTGAATCTGGGGTTTATACATCTGAGGTGCAAAGAGAAAAGAAAATGAACATCCTCTCTCACATAGATGGGAAACAGAAAATAGGTTCTCTTCTCTTTATGATATTTTACTGAAACAGTGACACTGTTTAAAAAGATGGAAAATTAGCGAGAGATTGCTTCGGAGAGTAGTTTGAAGTACTTTGTTTGATGTAAATATCACATGCTGTTTTTTCATTGTTACTCAAACCAGATGAAATCCAAAACAACATCACAATGTTTCAAATCTGAAAATTGTACATTCATTTAACCCCCATTTTCTGAGTGAGATCCCAAGGCCATTTAATAGCTCAACAAAATATTTAACATTGAAGTATTGAGTTAATACTTAAATCACTTTTCTTAATCTTATGAGAACTAATTATGAACAAAACTTGATAGCATACATCCCACGTTCTCCATTAAAAAAATTAACATTACTTTGGGGACTCAGAGACCTCAGATATATAATATGAATAAACGCAATAAATCTTTTTACATGTTACTATTTTCTGACCAGTGTCCACACTCTTATTGCAAATACACTCTTATTGCAATTTATTTGTTTTTATTCATATATTATATTTATTTGTTTGCATTTTAATACAATGTGATTTACTTGACTTAAACTTACCAGTTTAGTCTGTGGTAAAAGACATTACACTACTCACTAGAATACTTGATTTTGATTGGTCAACAGTGCCATCCATTTGTTTGTTTTTTTTCCCTAATAGTCGTCGTCATCCTAGCAAATGGAAACAGAAACAGCTACCTTTATGTTGCTCATATCACAATGAAAACTCTTTTTTTTTTGTTTCATACAAATGCAACTGACCCCATCTTACATCTCAGTTATTGCTCTGCAGTGGGGTCCTTCTGTTATTTTGTGATTATGACAGACTGATTGTACGTAATTTTTTTTTACAAAGCTGCCTAAATGGTTTTAGATTAAGCCAGATTTAAAAAAAAAAAAAAAAAAAAAAGATTTGTAAGG